GAGGATTCTGGTGCAGGGCGATTCTTCCGGGAGGACTCTGGTGCAGAATGATACTCGGGGAGGACTCTGGTGCAGGGTGATACTCGGAGAGGACTCTGTCTGGCACAGTGCTGGAGAGGAGCACCTTATATGGGAGTCTTTGAGGACAGAGAAATCAGCCAGGCAAACTGGAGTTAAGTGGCGTTTGAGCCAGGCCATGATGGATTATTAGGTGTCTCACAAAAATAAAATTAGAAAAATAAAGCCTTAGAAAGAGCAAGAGACCTAGTGTTAGGAAAACAGTTTGAAGGCTTTCCTTTTAAAATTAGTTAAACTAATTGTGTGGCTACGAAAGAGTAGGAGGGACGTTGTGAGGCCCAAGGAAAGGAATGCTGCTGTTTCTGGGAGTGGCTATTTCATTTAGATGGTGTGGACTTCCCCCAAGACCACCCAGAAAGGCTCTCGACAGAAGGAAGAGGAAACCATTCATTCAGTGATGTAGCATTTTCCATAGAGGAGAAAAACATCTCAAAAAAACTTGAACTTGGTCATTGGACGCATGTCTCTGTCTTGGGGTGGGTGGCGGGTAGGGCCACTGGAGTGAAATGTCTTTTTAGTTTCATTGTCCTCAGAACACTGTGGTTAAGAGTCTCTTCAACTGTGTAACAGGACTTGAAGTGACCATCTGCTGGGTGATTGTAAAAATTGAGTCTGTTGTATGAATACTTCTAAGTTGGAGCCTGGTGTGTAGCAAAGCTTCAAATACATATCAACTTGTACTTACCAAGGAGTCACTTGATTTTGAGACAGGGTCTCATGTAGCTGGGCTGTTCCCCAAGGGCTGGTCCTCCTACCTCTGTCTTTCTCATGTTGGGATTACCAGTGTGTGCATCATGCCCAGCTCGCCCGGGATTCTTGTGTGTATGTGTTTGTGTGCTCATGCATGCCTGTGGAGGCCAGCTCTCAGACTGTTCCTTAGGAGCTGTGTGCCTTTACATCTAGACACACGTGTACTTGCTGGACGGGCTAGGTTAGCTGGCCAGTGGGCCTGGATGATCTGCTTGCTTCTGCCTCCAGCCTCCCACAGTGGGAATTAGAAATACTTGCAACCGCACGTGACTTTTTTTTTCTTTATTTTTGGTTATTAGTTTGAAACAAGGGTTCACTATGTAGCCCTGGCTGGCCTTATACTCAGAGATCTGCCAGCGTCTGCCTCCCCAGTGCTGCGATTAAAGGTGTATGCCACCATACCTAACAGTATTCCTGGCTTTTAAATTTTGGGTTCTAGGAATCAATTCATGTCCTCATGTTTGGACAGCAAGCATTTTACCCACTGAACTCTCTCCCCGGCCCTTACCAAGTAGTTCCAACCACTAGCCTTAGTCATCTGAAACAGATCATTCAGACGAGATGTGTAAGGACTAGGGGGACTGAATGAGAGTGGATCCTCCATTATAAATTGATACCTCAATATTCCATAGTGAAGCCAGCTAGCATTGTTTGTCGTCCAAAGCCTGGTCATTTCTAGAATGTTTGGAAAGCTGTTTCTGTATATACAGTAAGGCCGAGCACCCCTTGAGTCAACCACCAGTGTGTGATGGTCATGAGTCCACTTGGGAAGTGACATTTACTAAACATCTGCTGTGTGGACCAAGGACCCTCTGAAGTGCCTTACCTGTCCTGTTACCTAAACATCACAAATGACCTTTTGTCAGGTGTCATAGATAACATGCCGGAAGGCTGAGCATTAGCATCACGAGTTCAAGGCCAGCCAGGACTACATAGCAGTTCTGAAATCTGCCTGGGCAACATGGCAATATCATGTCTCAGATGAAAATTCAAGAACATTAGGAGTAGAACGATGAGTGGATAAAAGTGCTTCAGCCAAGCCTGACGACCGGAGCTCACTGCCCAGGACCCACATGGTAGAAGGAGAGAGCCAACGCCTACAAGTTATTCTCTGACCTTCATATATGTGTTTTGGCACACACAGCTCATATAGAGAAATAGGCAGTCAGGTGTGCATGCATGTGCACACACAGAGACACTAAGTGTGTAACGTGAAAAATGGCTGGGAGCATGTAGCTTATTAGTGATACATTCACCTATAAGAGTCCTGGGTTTAATCCCTGGTATCACCAAGCACAGCAGCCCTTTGAGACAGGTTCTCTACAGTCCTACAGTCCTACAGATGAGAAAAGGGAGTGTGGTTGCTAGGTAACTCACCTACTGTTTCTCACATGATTTATAAAATGTCAAGGATGCAATTTGAACCTAGGTGTGCCTCTGTCCTCAGCCATTGTATTGAACTTCATAGGACCTGAACCAGGAAGACAGAGTTTCAGGTCCAATCTGCTCTGTTCCAGGATTATGACCTTAGTATTTTATTTCTCCATTTCAAACACAAGGCGAATACTTCTGGTGGAGCCTTGCTTTGAAGCTCAGAGGGCAGACATGTGAAGTGGCTGCCACAGTAAGGGCTCCCTCAGCTGCTCTGTTTCTTCTGTCTTCGGTCCCCTTAGTGTGTGGCCAGCCTCTGGGTCTCATACAGTTAGAAGATAAAATCCTGTACTCAGACTGTAAACTTGCTACAGTACCTGCTGATATTCTTAACTAGAAAGCAGCTCAGGCTACTTAAAGTAGAACTAGAAGTTCAGGTATAGAGGTACACACCTTTAATCCCAGCACTTAGGAGGCAGAGGCTATCAGCTCTCTGTGAGTTCCAAGACAGCCAAGGCTATGCAGAGAAATCCTGTTAAAAAAAAAAAAAAAAAGAATTAAAAACCCAGTAGAAGTAGATTCAGTAGAGACCTGCTGTGCATGTTTTAGGGAAAATGAAACCATCCAGATTTAGACATTTTTATGTTTTCTAAGAATGCCCTTATGTATGAAATAATACATCTCAGTCACAAAATACGTTGCAAATATGAAATACATTTGTATAGAATTAATATTGTAGACCGTTGTGTGCATATATGTGATATATAAATGTTTATGTGGATGATATATCTGTGTATATATATTTTTGAGATGGCTTTCGCGAATCCAGTCTGGCCTCTGACTTGCTCCATAGCTGAGAAGGACAGTAAATTTCTGATTTGCCTCCCTCTGCCTCCCAAGTACTGGGATGACTGGGATGTGCTGCTCTGTCCAATCTGTAGGTCTAGGGATGCGACCAGGGCTTCTCACCTTCTAGGCAAGCACTCTACCAACAGCACTACATCCTCAGCCCTTGTTTATGTTTCGTTGTAGTTGCTTTGGTTTCATTTGTTTTTTTTTTTTTTTTTTTTTTGTTTTTTGTTTTTAGGGTTTTTTGATGTTGTTGTTGTTGTTACTATTTTTTTATAAACTGTGTTTCTTTGTGAAGTCTTGGCCGTCCTGGAACTGTCTTTGTAGACCAAGCTGACCTCAAACTCAGAGACCCACTTGCCTCTCCCTCCCAAATGCTAGGATTGAAGGTATGTGCCACCACTGCCTGACTTTGCTTATGTATTTTAAAGAGAATTGTACTTTATTTGCATGCTTTTTGTTTGTTTTTCTTTTAGATTTTATTTCTTAATGTACTTATTTATTTTGTTTTTTTCGAGACAGGGTTTCTCTGTGTCACAGTCCTGGCTGTCTTGGAACTCACTTTGTGGACCAGGCTGACCTCAAACTCACAGAGATCCGCCTGCCCCTGCCTCCCAAGTGCTGGGATTAAAGCTGTGCACCACCAACCAGCTCGATTGTGCTTGCTTCTATCTTATGTATGTGTTGCCTGCACGGGTGTGCATCCTAGCTGTGCCTGGTGCCTGCACGGGTGTGCATCCTAGCTGTGCCTGGTGCCTGCACAGGTGTGCATCCTAGCTGTGCCTGGTGCCTGCAAAGGCCTGGAGAGAGCACTGGATCTCCTAGAACTGGGGATACCGATATTCGTGAGCTTCTGTGTGGGTGCCAGGGATTGAACCTGGTTCCTCTGCAAGAGCAGTAAGTGCTCTTAACTCCGGAAGTATCTCTCCAGCACCTATTTATGCATTTTTTAATGAGTAAGAATTTCTGCTTACCTGTTTAGATTTTTTTAAGGTACTATTTATTACCTAAGGGGTGGGAGATTTTTTTTCTTTCAGAATTGTTGGAATTGTTGGCTCATACCCAGAAATAATGCTAAGCAAGCATAAGTAATCTGGCTGGCATACTTTCCCTCAAAATGTACCTTTGAATGATAAGATAAAGGATGGCTGATGACTAACTGGCTTTTGATCTTTTGTCATCTCTTTGGCTTGTGTTTCGAGGCCTGTTGTCATGTTCAGGCTGACCTCAGATCCCTAGGGTCAAACCATTCTCCTGCCTCAACCTCCCAAGTCCTTGGGACCGTTGACCATGTCCCTAAAGCTGCACATTAAATAGCCTGGAGTTAATTATTACCGCCCTCTCTTTTGAAAACATGGTCGTTTAAAATGATTTTGTTGGAAATTGTAAGGTTTGCCTCAGAGGGCCCAGTGCTTGTTCTCAGAAAATAAAAGAAAGTGTAGTGAACCAGCTGAGTAAATACCTGTGGTGAATCTTCCTCCATGCGCCTTTCTAGAAAATAAATAAATAAACTATACGGCTTCCCTTGTTTTCATTTGTAAATGTTGCTGCTGTTTAGCCAAAGACTTGCACCACTGGCTCCTACTTTCCTGGCCCATGTCCAGGGATAGCGTGAGTGTTAGCAGACAACCTGCATAGCCAGGAATTTCTTTCCTCAAGTCGGTAGCCCCAGCCATGCACGGTGAGGACTAACTAGAGCTCCTAAGGAAGCACAGCGTGCAGGCAGCCTTTATACTCTGGTTTAGGGGGACATCCTGTGCATGAGCGGCTGGGAGAGCCAGTGTATTGACACGCAGAGCTGGTGAGACTTGGATGAGGCTGCAGGTGTAGAGGGAGGAATGGAGCTCATTCCTTCCCTGACATCAGTGAAATGAAAAGAAGCGGGGAAACTAAACTGCGCGTGTTCCCAGAGGCCACAGAATGAAGTAGCCTTTATTCTTTTGTCTTTGTAGGCATGGAAGGACTTTGATAAAACTTTAAACAGTTCCACAAAAGATGCGCTAATGGATGACAGCGACACTCCTGCATCCAGTCTTCAGATAGGACCGCAAGATGGACGTCATCCGGGTGGCAGCGTGGAAAGGAGAGTGACACCCTTGCCTTCTGTAGCAGATGAAAATGAGAATCAGCTTGACGGGGACGGGCCTGCGGCTCTGACCGGCAGTGGCAGCGCAATGGGAAGAGCCACGGTATTTAACCAGGACAGTCTCAACAATAATGAAAGCTGCCTGTCCGGCTGCGAGGTAGCCCCCGGTGAGACTGCAGAACACAGTCCGTATGAAGGGCCCAAAGATGACCAGTCTTCCTTGGCACAGGACAATAAAACACCTGGGAAAAGAAGTCCAAGAGCCAAAAGAGGCACTCCTAAGAACCTACCTCCAGGTAAGGCCTTCAAGTTATCTTACTATCCTTTAACAAAATCAACATTTCTACTTGTTCTTCTTTCATTCTTGTTTGCAGCAGCATCTGTAGGTCCCACTGTGTGCGTCTTTACAAGGTCACAGTCTGTAGCGGAATCATGGCGATTTAGTCTACTTCCCTTATAAAGCCCGTGGTTGTCTGCTGCCCTAAAACTTTCCTTCTCCATCACCGTGGCCTTGGTCTCTGGCCTGTGATCTTCTGTGCTAATCTGACTTCAGATGGGCTCTTTCTACCTCGCCCTGTAGGTGAGCAATATCCATGAACCTATCCCAACACATGTCTTGTACCAGTGTTGAGTGAGGCACCTGGTTTTGGTGTCTGCATATCTTTGGTCACAAAGTAATTCAGATTTTTCTTCAGAATATAGTTTGGCAGGTAAGAGTCCAGCTGTGGAGTTTCTTGTCTGACTCACCAGGTACTCGTGGGAAACCCCTGGTGGTTTGGGGGCCTATTATTATTTGCTTGTTTGTTTGTTTGTTTGGTTGGGTTTTTGTTGTTTGGTTGTTGTTGTTTTGCTTTATCAGGGACATGGCAGTGCTGGCATGCTATCGGTTGGAAGTCCTTACTGGAACCCACTGTACCCAGGCCAGCAGTGTTTGCAAGAGTCCTAGTGAATTAAGCAAGTGTCTCCTCCTCTCTTCTGCTCTCTTTTCCTTTGGCTGCTAAGAAATGTAGTTACTCCATGTCCTGGGTTTCATTTGTAGTTTTAAAATTTAGAGGAAACTATAAATCTGTGGGGCTGAGCTCCATAGATATGAGCTCTAGATGGGGCGGCTTGGTAGATGAAATCCTTACTGAACAAACACAAGAGCCCCCATTCAGATTGCTTTATTTTTCATTTTTTTTTAATTTTATTTTTTTATTTTATGTGCACTGTTTTTTTGCCTGCATGTATGTTGTATGAGTATGTCGAATCCCCTGGAACTGGAGTTACAGACAGTTGTGAGCTGCCATGTGGGTGCTGGGAATTGAACTCAGGTCCTCTGGAAGAGCTGCCATTGCTCTTAACCACTGAGCCATCTCTCCAGCCCCCAGCCTTCAGCTTCTTGGCACCCACATAATATTGGGCTGGTCTGGAGGGCTGCATGTACCCCTGTGTTATTAGGTAGGTAGAGGAAGGATTCCTGGGCAAGCTGGCTGTACAGACCAGCTGTTGGCAAGCTCTGGGTTCAGTGAGCACCCTGCCTCAGTAGATAAAGTGGAGACTGATTGAGGAAAGCACCCAGCCTTAACTTCTGGCCTATCAACCTCTGTATGCACAGAGCTGCACATATATACCTGTACTCACATGTGCCTGTTAATTGTTCCTTATTTAATGAAATAACTCATAATTTGGCTCTAGTAAAGATAACTCATAACTTGACTGTTCATGTTCCTTTGTTTTTTCCATGTTGACTTAAACATGGAAATTTTGGTTAAGGGGTATGAATATATTTTTGCAAAAGATCTGTTGGTAAACATATGATATACACAGTGCTGTATGCATTAAATTGATTTATTGTATAAATAAAAGTCAAGGCATACTGACTCTGTCTCTCCAGTCTAAGAGACAGAGTGCTGCCTTTAAGAACTGAAGCCTATCTGGGGATGGTGGCTCATACCTCTAATCCCAGCATTTGGGAGCTAGAAGTAGAGCTGCCAACCTTGGTTACATAATGAGTTCCAGACCAGCTGACTGTAGAGCTAGCCAGAAACCTCAATAAACCCCATACCTGTTAGCAGTCATTTTCTTAGGGCCATCCCACTTGTAGGCAATTGTTAATTTATTTATTTTTTCTCTATAGCTTTGCCCTCTCTGCACATACTGTTATCAGTGGAATCACACAGGAGATGCTCTTTCTTGCTGGCTTCTTTCTTATGACACATTTCCCTGGTTCACGCAGGTTGTAATATATATTTATACCCCCTTCCTTTTTATGGCCAAAGCGTTCCATTGCATGGATAAACAGAGCACATTTTCAGGCATTCATGCCTGCACTGGTGGGCATGCTGGTTGTTACACTTTTGTCTACTGTGATGCCTCTATGACCATGTTTTTTTATTTCTCTCTGATCAGTGGGAGGTGGTTCTGCATGACAGGTAGCGTTCTGTTTGAGTGGCGAACTGTTCTCCAATATGGCTCCACCAGTTTATATTTCCACAAAACAGGGGAGAGATGCAGTTTCTGTCCCTTCGCCAACATTTGTTAACGTCTGGTTTCTTTATAATAGCAAGTTGTTAGGACGGGGATATAATTAACAAGCCACAAAGTTTGCCTTTTAAAGCATACGGCACAGTGGTTTAATTATAGCCACAGAACTGTGCAGCCATCAGCAGTATTGGACCCTGTAAAAGAAACTGTACACCCATCAGCAGTCACTCCCCATTTCTCCTGTTCCTCAGCCCCTGGCGATCAATGCCTCATAAATTTCGTATGGCTTAGCAGACAAGTTCAGATTAAGTGTCTAAAGATTGCCATAACAGCATTTGGTGTTTACTCAGCCCTCGTCACCATGGTATCTACACATGAGGCAAAACAGCTCAGGAAACAGCCAGAAGCAGAGGTAGAGACTGAGGAAGGAAGCCTCGTCTAAATGGAGCTGCCACGTGCAGCACCTTATCTGGCTTTACTTTTGCCCTTCACAAGTATCAGCTGGTCCAAGACAAGAAGGGATGGAAGCTGGAGGAAGACAAAACCTGGAAAGGATCCGCAGCCTGGAGTCAGGCCGGTAGAGTTAGGAGAGCTGTGGGTTTGAAGCTGTGCTCTGCCTGGTGCTACCTCTGTGATCTGAGAAGGGAACTCTGTTCCTTGTCTCTGCTTATCTACAAGGAAGCTGACACTGCACATCCTGCAGCTTTGTCCTCGGGACAATAGTCTGTGTAGCCAGCAGCCAGAAGACAAGTGCTTGCTGTGTCACAGAACGTTCTTTGAGTGATAGCTCTTAGGGAGTTCACGATTAAGAAATAAATCTGACTGTGAGTTTAGCTCTTTTGTCTGTGCTTCTCTTAAGTCCTGGAGTTCTTCTCTCGCGTTCTCGTTCTCTCTCTCTCTCTCTCTCTCTCTCTCTCTCTCTCTCTCTCTCTCTTTTGTGGTGGTGGTACTGAGAATTGAACCTGGGACCTTGTCCTATGTTTAGTGTTAGGTAGAAGGTACACAGTGGCATGTTACTGATGTCTAAAATAACAACTAGTGATGCCATAAAATATGGACTCCCAGTTACATCTTCTATGTCTGACTTTGGCTAGAGAAGAACTTTTCTAACTGGCCACCAAAGCCATGTGTCTACTCAAGTTACACGTGGGTTCTGGGGATCCACATTCTGGTCCTCATGCTTGTCTTGTGTGACAACCATTTTATTCATCATCAGCCTTGTCTCAGAAAGAGAAAGAAAGGAAGAAAGAAGGAAGGAAAGAGGAAGAGAAAGGAAGGAAGAAAAGGGAGGAGAGAAAGAAAGAAGAAAGAATGAGAGGTCTGCCCTTGCCCTCTGGGCTAAAGTGAGGCTGTCAGCTACTATATTCTTCTAGCTTCTCGCCCAGTGTATTGCTGTCTTCCTCCATCTTTCCAGCCAGCGATGGCTTGTAGAGGCCTTGCACATGCTGCTTAAACTCTGCTGCCCACGTCTTAGGTTATTTAAGGGCCCCCATGGTCCCACAGGTCCCACAAGGTGATTCAGAGCAACCTCCCTGTTCAGAGACAACTGATGAGCAGCCTTACATCCACCTGCTGCTTCCGTTCTCTGTGTAACACCAGGGAGTATACAGATTCATGGAATCGGGACATAATCATTTTGGGGAGACTTTATTCTGTAACCCCTGAAAATGTTTTAACTAAGGCATAATGATAAGGCTTTACATAGCAACAAAGTCTTGTACTTTGTAAATATTGTCATTACATTAATTTATAGAACCACAGAGGACTGCTTAGTCAGCAGGTGTTTGTTGAGTTTTGTATTCTGTGCACTCTTCAGCTGCTGCTGAACCTGCCTTTCAGTTTCTTAGGTTTGGGTGAGAGAGCTAAGTAACAAACGGGGGCGGTCTATCAGAGGAGCTCCTGACAGAGTCGAGCATGCCTTAGCAGTGGACTGAAATGTCCAGGGAGAGCTGTGGAAGCTTCCAGGAGGAACTGACGTCTAAGCTGAGCTAGGACAGGGGGATGAGGATGAGGATGAAGGATGTCAGAGTAACCCAGAGCGAAGTAGAGTGTGCCATCCCAGACCACTCCTCAGGTAGCTCAGATTGACCTCACAATCAAGGTCATCCACCTGACGGCTCTTCCCAACTCCTGAGATTGACACAGGTGTGGATGACCACGCCCGCTCTCTTCTCAGTCCGGGATGCTAGCAGTAAAGGTGCAATGTTACAGTGTTTTCTAAGAATCTCCTTTGTTTTTCTCTTTCTTTACTTCAGGTTTTTACTGAATCAGGATCTCTACAAAAAGATAATGCCTTGTTTTCATTTGTTTAAGATAATTGCTTCCAGGTAATAGGTCAAAACACATTTGATTAAAAGTTTCTTGTCTGTGTTGTTTTTTTAAATATTCAGCGTACTTGACTCTAATTGTAAAAAAGGAAGGAAGGAAGGAAGGAAGGAAGGAAGGAAGGAAGGAAGGAAGGAAGGAAGGAAGGAAAGGAGGAGGGAGGGAGGAAGGAAGGACGGAAGGAAGGAGGGAAAAAAACACACAAGTGAGCTTTGGAAAGAGCCACACAAATCAGGTACATACATACAACAGAATATAACATCGCTTGGCACTAAAATGAATCACTGGTACAAGCCACAGGATGAATATTGAAAGCATTGGTTATGCTTAATGAGAGAAGCCACAGATATGGACTCTCCACAGTAGACAACACTGCTAGATAGTAAAGCTGTTGGATTCTATATTTGAACAGATGAATTGTAAGCCATGTAAATTACATTTCAGTAAAACTATTTTAGAAAAGAATATGGAGGCAGTGTGTGGGTGGGTTAGTGATCTGAAGAAA